ATATGAAATACTGTCATTTTAGTTATAATATTTAAATAAGCTTTAAGATAAGAATAGAGATAGAAAGCAGTTCATTTGAGGTTGGTTTCTAAATTATTAATTTCAGCAAACTTTTGGTCTGCTTTAATTGCAAGTTCATTAAGTGTATGAAGTAGTATAGTTTTTTTGAAGATTGCTGTATATTGTTGATTAGGTTGGAAGATTGTGTAGTCTGAAATGAATGGTGTAGTTTTAGGAGTTGTATTGTCTTTTGAAAATGTTGGGAATGTTTCAAAAAATTTGTCAAAATAATAGGTTAATATGTTTTTAAAAATGTGTTCTGTGTCATCAGATAGAAGTTTGCAGTCTTTATCTTTGTATATATGAACATAAAAAAGTGTAGCTTTGGTTGATAGGAAAAAATGTTTTTAAAAAGAGATAAGTTCTATAATTTGAAAGTCTGAAGGTAGAAATTTTTTGCATTCCTCAGTAAGTATGATTGCAATTTGGTATTTAATATAGTTTCTAACTTTATCTTTATTAATTTCAGAGAACTGTTTTTGGTAATCTTTAAAGAAGTCTGCATATCATGTATTAAAATTTTGGGTATAAGGTTTGAATAATGGAATTTGAAAAGTGTTAGTAAATTTAGTTTTAGGAATATAAAGAGTAACAGTAATAATAAAGTATTTGTTGTTATAGATACTGAATAAGAGTTTTGGAGCATCATATTCAAAATTATATTTCATTGATAATCTAAGAAGATAAAGCTCTAGTTTCTTAATGAATTTTTGGTAGTGAATTGTTTAATATTTGTTATAAAGAAATATTATAGTCGAGTAAAGTTAATTGCTACTTTGTAATGATCAGAGATTGGATGAGGTGAGATTGAGTAATGAGAACAAAAGATGTATAGGTAGTTAAGTTTGGTAAAGAGGAGTTCATTATATTTAGTAAATAAATTTTTAAGTGTTAAGATATAAGCATATTGTAGAATATTAAGTTGAGGTAAGAGTAATGGGTTAGATTTATAAAGGAAATTTGTAAGAAATTCTGGTTTTTCAATAACTATTATTTTAAGTAGGTAGTTGAAGCTTTGTTTTTGAGAAAGTTTTTGGGTTGTAGTTAGTTGAGTATTATTTGAAGTAGAGAGAATTGGTTGGCCAGAGATAAATTTGTAAAGATAAATTTTTGAGAAGTTGAAAAGTTGTTGAGTAAGTGATATATTAAGTTTTGTATTTGGTTCCATGTTTTCAGTAATTGGGTAGTTAAGAAACCAGTCTAGGTCATTAAAGTATCTCTGGTTTGATTAGTTGTGTTTTTTTGTTATTGGTTTTGTTTTGTTTGTTTAGAGTTTTGTTTCTTTTCTTTTCCTCTAATAATAAGTTTTTGAAGAAAATTGATTTTTTCTTCTTCAGTAAGTTTGTAAATGTAGAAAGGATAAAAATTAGAATGTTGTTCTTTAGTAAATTCTTGAGCTTGAAGAAGAGGTTTGAGTTTAGTATATTGGAGACTGTGGACACAGTCTCGGTAAAATAGAGAGTCTTTGAAAATTATAGCTATAGAGTAGTCTAATGTATGATGTGTTTCTTGAATAAGAACAAATAGAATATCTTTTTTTTACATAAAGTACATATATGATAATGTTAAGAATATAGAACAATTGTCACAAGTGATAGATCTGTATAAAAGAAAGAGGTAGAATTTGAGAGATGAATAGAAGATTTTGTTATTGTTTAGTAATAGGTAAGTTAGGTAGTGTAATTTGGGATTCAGCGATCCTGTCTTTACTCTAATCCAATTCTCACGTAACCTATGGTGGCTAAGTCGAAATAGGCATGTTAGATTTGGCTGGGTGGTTTATCTGTAGATAAGTACTTGTCTTCTCTTGTATGTCTTTCTTTTAACCTATTCTTATATTAACCTTTGCCTTCTCTTGTATTCTTATGTCTTCTCTTGTATGTCTCAACTCGGGATTACACTACGTCAAATCGGGATTAGAATTCTTCTATTGCAGTGATGGCTTTCCGGTCACGTGACTTGTGGCAAATGATCAATGGTGAGTTTAGTGGTTTATGGACGAACGGTTGGATTAGGGATGGTATTAATGATAGTTTATTAGTTTGTATAGAATAATATGTTCACTTTATTAGGGTCAGGTATTTAGTATTATTAGGGGATTTATTGGTATAGGGAATCGTTCTCATATTAGGAATGCGGGAAGTGAGGGAATTGTTTTTTTCCCAAGGCAGAAATGCTCTTTATTTATAATAAACATTTTGTTTACATTGGTAATTAATTTCTACCATAAATGCAATATATTCCTTATACTCTGGATATTAGCTAAATGTAATAAAAGGCCAATATGTCATTTAACGCATATATGGTCGAAGTAGCAGAAGCGACGTAAGTAACGTAAGTGACATTTCCGTCACTTTCGTGTGACCTCGGATCGGGTCAGGATCGTCGCTTCGATACGGTCACCTTCCCTGTGACCCGTGATCTTAAAAATCGGGCTCACAATGTATAAAATGATAATATATTTAAATTTAACTCAATTTTTAATTTCATAAACTTAGTTTATTTTTATATATTTCCGTTCCGCTTTATGCGGGTAACACGAACCTTAAAAAGGAAATGGCTGAGTTGAGAGCTCAAATTTTGACTATTCCGGATCAACCTGACGTAAACAAAAAATCTGTGTCAGGTTTGTCGAACATCTACCTAGGTTGATCGACAGCGACCCGCGTTAAACTAGTTTTAAAGTTAGTTTTAATTAGTGTTAGAATTAAAAGTGCATGCCAAAATGAGAATAATTTTTATTGTTAGAACACGAAAGGTAGTTTCATAGGTTACATTTTAGAATAAAATTTTTTTTTTCTTAATTTTGCCGATCATGAACGACAAAACCTGGCACTGATTTCTCGCTTGCCAACCTGATATGAAAATACTCAAAAAACTAGTGTTTAAATCGAGGTGCTTTAAGTAAAATGTCGAGGACGAAATATTACATATAAAATGCAATAGTCTGTGGCTATAGTTTCGTTCTAATTCTAAATCACGCACTTTGTTGATTTACAAAATCAATTTTCCTTTTTTGGGGATGGCTAAAGCCATGTACCCACATGATTTTGACGTTTTATTTAAAATTAAGGTTAGGATTGGGGTTAGGATTGTATTAGTATAAAAAAGGTGGTATAGGTAAAAATTGCCTTCCCGACATTTTCAATTAATGCCCCAAGACAGGTTTAGAAAGTCGTTTTTCGTCTTTTTGCGTTTTCTTTATTTTTTGCCAACTTCAGACTTAATTCCGGTTGGTTGATTTACATAATAAAGTCACGTGGGTACATAGCTTTAGACGACCCCCTTTTTTGGGTTGTATTACCGGCACAAATCAAAAAAATACTTCTAATTAAGTAGGTCTACGATAAATATGTAAGCTTCCAGGCCCATTCTAAGGATATCTTTCTAGGTACATATTGTTAACAGCCTCTAACGTAGAGATGGGATGGAATGCATGTTTTGTAAGTCAATCACTAAGAAACCAATTTTTATAATTTAAAATGGATAATGGATTAGTACATAACTATTACAGCTAAGTTACCGATGAGTTTAAACTCAACATAATTTCATAACTAACTTATGATTATCAAATATAATTAAGTTTCGGGATTTTGACCTAGACCTACGTCGTATGAATTTATGTCCAATCAAAATCGTATCCGATCATAAATCAAGATTTGCAAAGCTCGTTATATTCCATTCCTGGTATTTCACTCCATTCTTAGCGTTAGTAATGGTTTTACCTTTGTGAAACCATTATTTCCGAAAAAAGTCTTAAGAGACATCAAATTTCCATAAAAGTAATTTTAATGTAGTACTATGGCTAACGATTAATTATTAGTGCAAAAAAAATAACTAAATAAGTCTAATAACGATAACTACATTCTTACCTGCTATGATTTTTAGACCGTAAACCAATAGGGTAATTTAAATGTAACAATATCAATTTTTTGATTCGATATATGAGTGTCTCCAAAAGAAAACTTGCACATTTATACATAAACTATATATAAATGCGCTTAACAACACTCATATCTGACATCATGACGGGCCTCTTGCAGTATGAGTGACACATATTATTATTAATCAATTGATTAATCGATTTATAATATATTTTACCAATACAGCAAGAGGGATTTAGTGCCCGGATAATAGTATGGCATAGCTAAGATACAAAAAATTTACTTTTTGCTGATTTTTAAATATATACTGTTGCCTCCAGGAGTATATGACAGTTTAACAAAAAGCATAATAAAAAGCATCACATATTCATCCAATCAAGAATATAGAAAATATTAAAGGCAACGTTTAGCAACGATTGCCGCCTTCAAAAGTTTTCGAAACATTAAACACGACGCTCCATTTAATACCGTGGATTTGTCAATATTATGTTATATTTCTTGTCTGTGCAATCGTATATACTTTCGAAAGCAACTATACATACAGTGAATGAAATCCAACAATTTCAATTATTTGTAGATATAATTCGCTAAGCAAAAATCAAGCCTTTTGATTAAAGTTAAAAAAAGGTTGTCTTTATTAATAACAATTGTTCGTTATACATGGTAGAACCTTCATAAGGTTCTATAAAAATGATATATTTAGCTTGTTGAATATGGCTAAATTTATTCTCAGCAATCTATTCAATGAATACGGTTACTTCTTGGCATATTATTATACACAAAAATTTTTGCTTTTTTTGGATTTCTACGCCTTGTGCTACTTGCTAATTGCGTGCACGTATCCACTTATTATACTACTGATGGTTATTCAATAATATGTATTTCAAACAAATATTGATAATTTTCTAATAACCGCAAGTGTAACATTATTTCAATGATGATTTGTTTACTTTTTGGTTTTATATTTACTGCCCATATTTGTAATGTTGATGTACACGACTAAACCATCGAATATATATATATTGCTTCAATTTCTTGGCTCTTATAAAATTAAAAATGACTTTTTTCCATTGGGGAGAGTTTGATCCAAACCTATCTGTTACTTCTTGGTTCGTAAGTTCTAGAACATTAAAAATTTTTCGTGTTGTGGTGACCGTTTATTCTTGGATTATTCTTATTGGACACCTGTTAGATTATGGATTATATACTCACAGTCTAGCACAATATGGTATCAGTAATAATTTGGAATGCTATTTATGTTATTTTACCAATTTAAGCTATATAGGTCAGACCTTTTACTTTACGGTAAACAAACACATATTTTTGTTGGCTTATTTTATTTTTATTATGAATATTCATTAATATTCATTAATTAATCTTTTATAATTTGAATTTATAGGCTGCATTATACTATTCAATCCGATCAAACTCTCTTGAAAGAATTTCAAATTTATCCAATTTTATTTTTTGGATCCTTTATCATACTCTAGTACATTATCAGTAAGTTGGCTTTATTTTAAATTTGGGCATTTTTTAAAATCTTAACTTCATGGCTTATTCATATATAATTAAATAATTAGTGCTATTATTCCTTTTGTCTACTGGGGCTTACTTTCACAAGCTTTTCTCAAAGAAAATAATCCATGGTTCATCTGGTTAATAAATGTTTCCGTCCACGGCATGGAGTTTGTAACCATGATGATTGAATTATTTTTAAATCGTCAATTAATGAAAAAATCATTCGTATTTATAACAATACCTATTCAAATACTTTTTATGTTTGAAGCTTTTCTTGTTTATGATGAACATAATTTTTGGATATATGATTTCTTAGACTGGCATCGTGGCTCTCCTGGAGAAGTAGCATCTCGTTATATTGGCTTTTTTTTGGCCTTTATTGCAGTTTATTTTTTGGTGTACGGGATTCATGCATTTAGAGACTTTATTGGAAGAAAAAAGAAAAAATCTCAAAAATCATCCGAAAATATTGCAATGAGCGCAGTAGCGTAGTTACTATATAATTCTTTTTTATTTTCTATAGATATATTAAATTTAGTGATAGTAAAATTCTTTGCTTTAGAAGTTTGAAACTGGTTTTTCGAAATTAGATTCCAATTTTGGAATTTAGGCTTTCCCGTTCATAATATAAATATAAATATAAATATATAAATATATATATATATATATATATTTCTAACATCACTAGTGTATAATGTGTAGATCTTAGTATAACAAAAAATTAAACTAACGCTAATTTGCTTAAGGCAGGATTTAAGGTTTGGGTTAAGGTATAAAGAATAATACTAATTAATAAAAAAATTTGCATGTATTGATTATGTGGCATGTAATTGTTAAAAGGGCAAATAAGTAAAAGAATAATGCAAGGGCTTTAATTAAATTAATATACTGATTAAATTTAGTAATCTTATTTAAAGCCAAATTATTGCCAATTTGTCTATATAATTCTAATAATTAATATTAAAATTTTTATTTTAAATTTAAGAATTTAGCTTTATAAAATAAATATTATATGAAAAGGTGAAATTCGCGCAGAGATGATAACTTTCTTGATGCAGATCTATACTTAATTAGGGTTAGTTACTATTTTAGGTAGGATAATAAAGCCCCAATTTATATTTGTACAACATTTGTAAATACTCGCATAACGTGACTCGGCACTGTAAATAAAACTACCCAGGATCGCTAGAAAAAATGAAATCTACTAAACCTACTAATTCACGTGAATGCTTACCAATTTGGGTAATTTTTGTACCTACTTGCCTACCCTAACTTATGGTAGGTATAAGGATGGTTCCGAAAGTAGGTACTTTCTCTACCTACCGAAATCGAAAGTCTACCGAAAGTACTTTCGAACAGGGTTTGGTTTACCAAAATGTTCGAAAGTCTTACCGAAAGTCGAAACCCTTACCGAAACTCGAAAGTCTTACCGAAAGTCAAGGCCAATCATATCTTGACACAGATACTTTTTTGATTTTAAAAAAGTCCCGTGACCGATGCCCTTAAAATCGACCAATAGAATTTTTAGCAAATCCATTGGTTGATTTTAAGGGCATCGGTCACGTGACTTTTTAAAATCAAAAAAGTATCTGTGTCAAGATATGATTGGCCTTGACTTTCGGTAAGACTTTCAACTTTCGGTATGACTTTCGACTTTCAGTATGACTTTCGGTAAGGGTTTCGACTTTCGGTAAGACTTTAGACTTTCGGTATGACTTTCGGTAAGGGTTTCGACTTTCGTTACAGCTATTTTCATAATTTCTGGAACACCTACTCGTTACCCGAAATCGTTTTGGTCATTCGGTAAATTATCTAACTCTCCGGAGACTACATCGCTGTCTTCAGACCTTCAGTCCAGAGGCAGCAAAGTAATTTCCGGAGAGTTAGATAATTTACCGAATGA